CCCTTTTAAACAGTTCTGTCCCTCATCTGTTTCAATGCAGCATACATAATTTATCCCATATTTCTCAGTGTCCCCCCAACCCTGATGTCAATCCTGTTTTACAACAGTGGCACTATGCAGTATTTGTCCTTTTGTGACTGATATTTCACTCAGCATAACGTCCTCCAGGGTCACGCATTTTGTATAATATTTCATGAGTTACTTGGTTTTCAGTGTTGTATAGTATTCCATTGTGTGAATATACCAGAGCTTCTCTATTCATTCATTTTATGATAGGCACTTAGGTTGTTTCCAGCTCTTTGCTATTGTTAACAAAGCGTGATAAACATGGGTGTGCATAAGGAATATATTTTTTAAAAAATTTCATTACCATCAAGACAGGACTCACTCATTCCTGATTGTCCAGCAGTTTGCAGAGGCTCTAAACTGTACAGAAAGAGATTACCCGTCGCTCTCCCACTGAGCACCTGGTAGATTCAAACCATAGGTTTTTCCGTTGAATTCAACTCCTTACCCACAAGGTCACCAGGGCTCCCGAAGAGTCAAGAGACAGTGAAGGAAAAGAAAACTCTGATGATGTGGACAGACACAATAACTGGGGTAATGAGGGCAGGTGGGTTAGAGACAGTGAGAGTGGCTCAGGATAGAGCAGGGTTCAGAGCTACTGTGCACTGGGTCGCTGTGAGTCATAGTGGACTTGATGATACATAACAACAAAAGTTTTTAGAGAGGATATTTCCATCACTTTATGCCTTTTTCCCCCTAAAAATCACAGTTGAGGGTTCAAATAGTATATAATTAAAAACCAAACCCTAATAGTATATAATTAAAACTAAAGAATCTTATCTTTGTCTCAGTTGGACCAGAGGGTTGTTGGCTTTTTCCCCAGCTAAAAGTACTTTTTTATTAGTGTTAGTAATTTTTTAAGTATAGATAAGTTGCAATGGGAAGATCAATATGATTCCTTATAGTTTGGGTAAAATGTACTATAACACAAAGGTCAAAACTCTGTATTGTTACTGACAAATTTTCCAACATATACAATTCTCTTAAAAAATGGAAATTGGGATTAGAGTTAGCCTTTGTTGTTGTTGTTGTTCCTACTGTGTGCCTTTGAGTCACCTGTGACTCATAGTGACCATATGCACAGTAGCCTGAACCCTTCCCTGTTCTGAACTAATGTCATTGTCTCTGACACATCTCCCTCATTACCTCAGTTACTGTGTCAATCCATCTCATCCATGATCTTCCTCTCCTTAGCTGCCCCTCCACCCTTCCAAGCATGTTGGCCTTTCCAAGAACTAAACCCTTTTGGTATCATAAATTTTTAAAGGAACACTTGGAACAGCATATTAGAAGAGAGCAAAGTTAAATATCACAGAAGAAGAAG